ACACACACACACACACACACACTATATATATATATATACATACATACATACATACATACATACATATAGATATATATATATATATATATGGTTCACAAGCTATTTCCGACCATCACGAAGAATGATGTACATGGTCATTCGCTCGCTTGAACGGCATCTCACCACCCGTGCAAGCAGAATACAGAACAGACGTACCTTGCTCCAGCATGCGCTCTGAGCCAGTTATGCCGATGTAGTACGGCGCATATCTCGCCCGAAACCATTCGAGACTGATGCCTTGCACACCGTTTATGACCATTTGCATTGCCTCATCAATTGTCGACAGATCAAAGTCTCCCATTTGTAATTGACACTCGGTCATATCTAAATCGCCAAATCTGGAGTGTTGAGTAGCCAGAGTGTCCGCGCAAAATCAGAGAAGGCAATCGATCAAAACAGGTGCAGGTTCAGGGTAGTCTTTAAGAAGATCAAAAACGAGTGAGCGTATTGCCGCAGCACTAAACTGGCAATCAGTGAGTTATGAGCATAATTGAACTGAACTGTTGAGATTGTGGTATGTATTAATTCACTAAGACGACACTCATTCGGAATGATGAAGTAAGTATATAAATAGACGATTAGGTTTACAAAACAATTCTCAACTTTACATGTCGAAAATCGCCTGCGTCGCCAACGAGGTATCCTAATCTACTTTATAAACACGACAAACACTTCAAGCCAAGCATTCTAACGTCTGGTCTTTGTTTTAAAATGGGAGGTGTTTGGCAAATCGCACACAGAAGAAAGAGTATTTCACATACCCAGCTGACGTTGCCCTATAAAGGCGACTCACAAATTGAAAGTAAACATCGTTGCTATTCTTAAACAGACGATTCCCGGTAACGTGTCGGATATAATTCATTTTCATCAGCAGATTGCCCAGCACCACGGCCTCCTGCATAGAATGAGTGAACGCAAAACATCTTCAGCGTTATCGACTATCGAGGAGTGTTTGGTTCGAGGGTAACTGTCAAACTATCACTCAGGTCTACACTTCGAGTCCTATTTGAGCCGTAAGGAGCTGCTATCGCAAATCCTAAGGAAACCAGCCTCAGATGAGGCATACAGGTTCGTCTCATCCGAAATATAGCATGACTACATGGTGATTTTATAGCAGCGATCTTAGATGTAACACAACATACGCCGACAATCTTCGGTTCTTCATATACTTTTGCGAGAAGCGGAACAACATAGTAGGTAGGACCTTGGAATGCATGGATGCACGTGCATGCCACACGTAGGGAAGTACGCACCGTATTGTGCTATGTATCATTCGCTCTTATAATACACACTAATGTTGGAGGGCGCCCGTGTGAGGTATGTGAAGTATATGCCTAGACTATGTGGTTATAGCGCGTGCAATTACACATCTCACATTTATTCACCTCTATATGAGTTGTTACAGACCAAGTGGGCTATTTGTTTAGTATACGAAGCTACTGTGCGAAAGAGGTTTTTCATACTAAGTCAGTGCGGAATCAGATCTGCCTATATCACATGTCTATCGCATGTCATTAGGAGTGCATGCAAGAATTCACATTGTATCATGTACATACTCGCAAAATGCGTCAATAAAACCTAGTATCTCGTTCTACTAAGATATTTTTAGTAGATGATTGTCATAGTCTAAGTCTTAATAAGTATGCAATAAGTACAAATTGTAGCCCCAACTCAGAATCACACTGATTTGTAGCTGTGACATTGTGCATGCGTACATTCAGATTGTATCTGGGCAGAGCATGTACATATTTAATAGATACCCTCCTATGTGCATGTCAGCTGATCTTGAGGAAATGAATAAAGAGATCCGGAAATAGGCGGACATCACATACTTCTTTATCTCTAGCAAACTTCAGGTCCATCATAGTATTTACTGCGTTGACGCCGGAGAAACAGCTCCTGTAAGTTCGGAACTTCTTTTTCCTGTCGCGTATGTTGACACCTGTATGTATAGAGTAGATTTATCACGACTGAGAGTCGAACAACAAACCAGCAGAAAGTACAGATGGACATTGACTAACAGTGTAATTCACTGTCGTTCTATCGTCTGCTATGCACCGGTTGACGGTATTGAACCAATTCACTCGAGTCAACCTATTCGTAGCTTGCGACAACAAAAACGAGCTTAGATCGCACGCACACACTCACGCACACCCTTCACACAATAGGTCTGCCGATATCGAACCGTACCCTACTACGTCGTGTACTGCACTATCCACAATAGTACTTGCGGTTGCCGTCTGGTCTAGCCCCACACGGCCTCACCTGCTTTTAATGCCGCTATTATATCCACCATCGGTGTGTTCCTGAATTGCGTCTCGTCTACTGCTTGTTCCTTGATCGTTGGCTGTAACTCGCCGGCAATACTGAGTTTCGAGCCCGTCCGCGGGAAGTTCGCATCGCTATACCTCCTAGCTATCTGTTGCTCCACCCTGTCGGATTGGTGTGAATACATTCCGAGTCCTTAATTCGGGTACTTGGGATACACTCGACACTTCCCCACGAGAGAAGGAACGTCATACAAGTATTGACAACCTACAAGCCACCGAATTTCGGATATGAGAATAGCAAGATCGACTCAACGACTCTACGAGCGTTTGATGACAACCCCGCTACCACACTCACGAACAGTTGCAGGTGGTACGCGATTGATACTTAATATTCCTGTCTATGAGGATCGATGCAAAAGCCGTTGAAATTCCCACACAACAAGGAGAGGGGCAGAGTTGGTACAAAACCTCAAAAAAAACAAAAAAGCAAAAATATTTTTCAATTTAATTTACGAAGTGCTATCGGGCCTGTTGCAGTTGGAGTACTATGAGTAATATACTCTGCATAGTTGACCTATGCGATTGCAAAACCGCTGATGGAAAAGTACTCCAACTTATGATTTTGGGCAATCGGACTATTTCGACGGGCAGATTGGAAGGGAAAATAGAGCTGTTGACAATTTCAGCTATTTGTAGTAACGCCAACCTAGTGTCACGCAAAATCGTAGTGTCTTTGCAGGCAAAAGGCACACTGATGAACGCTGGCTAGAAACGTGCAACATAGAAATATAGCTGCCAAGAACGTGAACGGAATTTATTTAGCATCACTGAAGCCGCCCTGGTGTCATACTCTAGCGCGATAGATCTTCGGTGCTGGTTCTAGATGATTGACAGTGAATGCCAGGTGCACTCAATGTGAACTAACTGCGTTACGCGTTTATATCTGTGATATGATGTACTTGGTATGTCCGAATGTAGGGTTTTAGGGTTTTAAAGCTATGGGGTTTACTTGCAGCAGCACTTTGATAACGGCGTGTGCAGTTGTCAGACGTCGAGATGTAGTTGCGCATGCGCAGAAACAAGCATTAATTCAGTGTACGATACCAAGATTTCATAGACAAGCGCAGAAACATATATTTCAATTCAGTGTACGATAGCAAGATTCCATAGACAGTCACGATACACGTGCCTATAACATAACAACGGGGTTATAGGTGAAAAGCACTTCACGACTATAAAAACGCGACACTTACGCTCCAATCAGGTCCTCCTCTCCCACGGTCTCTTCGCTCGTTGCTGTGTGCGGGCGAGGCATATGCATGAGAAGGTTTGTCGTGCGAATAAGCTGACATGCGAATGAATTGATTTTGCTGCGCGATGTACATGTGTGGCCACACGGATGGCGGCTCACATCCGCTTCAGACTATGAATACACCCGCGGCATCACACAAGGCTACACGCAGGCGAAGTATTATCGACGAAGTGCTGAGCACACAACAAGCGCACGTATATGAGCCCATATTGGTATATACTAGTATGAACCTCTCAAACAGCCGCTGATGTTCGCGTGGTAGCAGGGAGCCATACGTGTACCCATCGCAAATTCTAGAGGACGAGTGTTTTCGTGCGATTGTTGAGGTTAACGCGTGCTAAAAATAGAAGTGCTCCCATGCAATCCTAATTATAAACATGTGCTAATACTGCTAGTATCTCTAGAACTGACCGGATCTAGCATGCACACATGGATGCGGCCAATCTGCCCAACACGTTCACAGTGGTACAAATCACCCCCTAATTCGGCACTACATTATACGAACCCTCAATGGTAAGTCAGACAACTGTTGTTTTCTAACTTCCCACCACTAAGCGTGCATACGGCAAGCACATGGTACCGTACTGTGATTCACCATCTCGTGTCTATTGCTTGCATTAATGCAACATCCTACACCTACAAGTACTTACCTCGAATAAATTCTGTCAGTGAGTAGTCAATCAACTTATTCTCATACTGCTGCCTGGGCGGAGTGGGTTTCCGCACGATGGACGCGGAGGCGGAAAAGCTCGCGTAGAAGGTATCATCGTCTGGTAAGTTTGCATCTGGACGACCATCAGAGAGACTATAAATGTTAGCTCAATTGCGCTCATTACCACCACACTCTGAGGATTCAGGCTGAGTCTGAGCTTATCGAGTGATAGGTGTTTGTGATCATACTGTGATCGTAATCCTGATCTTTGCGAGCTGACTGACTGTTCTCGATCATGTATCAGCGTTGATTGATAATGAATTTTTAGTGGGGAATCTGCTTGGTATCGCCGAGACAAGAATCTTTTTCACCTTGTATATGTAAATTAATACCAAAACCCAATAATCATCTGACAAAATTGTAAGTATATGCATGTGATTCAAATTAACACATTCAACACAGGATTATATCGGCCAAACAGCATATGAAATAAGAAATGGCATAAAATCATACAGAATTCAAATCTCTGTAGAAATACAGTATTAAACATGTGTATGTATAACAGATATTAATCCATACTTACACATATATGCAGAACAAAATGTATTGCACGCACACGCAAACGCTATAATTTTTTTTATTATAATTCCGTATTCGCATGTACAAGTGCAGATAAGGATATACTATATATATATAATAATAATATAATAATATAATAATATAATAATACAATAATATAATAATATAATAAGATATATACTATATACATACATATATATATATATATAGATATATATATATATATAA